TTCACTTGGCCATATATGTCCTAGGCACATCTCCCTTCTTCGTAAAATAGCCTCACACTCCAAAAGAAGGTACACTGGTGTCTATTTGGCTGATTCACAGAAGCGGCATAAGTCGCTTGACCAGATCCCCAGATTAAACAAGTGGCCGCTGAGCCTGATGCCCATATTAGATGGATGGTGTTGTGCACAGCAAGGGCATTAAGCTTCTCGATGCACTCCGAGACCAAAGAGGATTTGACCGCGAAGGATGTGAGGCCCATAAGCTTAGTAAAAGTATCTCTAATCTCTGCGCATAGACTTCCGCTCCAATACCCTAAGGGGTTTAGGGCCGTCCGTGTACCAATGTAGAGTGCTCGCCTGTATGTGTCCCTCCAAGATAGGCGTGCTTCAAGTCGCATAAATATAAATTGATACTTTGAAGCTTCTTTCAAAGACCACTACTCTGTGCATATCATCCCTGGGGAACTGCACTAATATCAGCTGCAAGCCTAGCTTGTCCCTGTTCCTAGATGATAGCACTTTACCTTTTCCAAAACCCTCTCTCGCAAAGTTTAAGAGCGTTCGTTTTGCCACCTGTTCAATCATAATATGTAGTGGCTCCAGTTCAGGGACTACTTCCAGCGCTGCCGTCGGACATGTGCGCATAGCTCCCGTGATGCAAACACGGGCCAGACGTTGAATCTGGGCAAGAGACTGTCTTGCGGTTGCCACAGTAGTCCTGGATACCCAAGCCACCGCCCCATAAGTTACTGTTGGTCGTGCAATCATGGTGAAAATCCATATTAGGATCCTTGGGGTGCACCCCCAGGTCTTCCCCGCTAGATGTTTGCACACCATCAGCGCTCTCGTAGCCTTGGAAGTGACCGCCTCAACATGAGTCCCCTACAGAAGTTTTGAGTCCAGGATAACACCCAGATACTTAACCTCTGTGACGACATTGGCCGCGACCCCATCCAAGGCTAGGTTCCTCATCCCCTTTAGAGCTCTGTTTCTGGTAAATGGGATAATGGCTGCCTTGGAGGGGTTAATATTAAGCCCCACCTCAACACACTACCTCCTTGCCAGATTAAGACCTCTTTGAACTGTGTCGAAGAGTGTACTCGCGAACTTCCCCCTAGCAATAATCACTATGTCATCCGCGCATCCTTGGCAGCGGACACCATTGGTAGTGAGTTTCTGCAGGAGTTCGTCCACAACTAGTGATGGCACGATTAATCGAATAACCGATTATAATCGGTTATTTTCATTCGGTTAACGATTTAATTGTATCGAAATTTTCCTTTCGATTAATCGAGCGATTAACCGATTAATTTTCAAAATAATCGAAAAGAAACCATCAAAAATTTACTACTTTACTCACACAATAATGTAACGGGTGATTTTTTAAGAGCTTGATAACTTTTTTTTTAAAAAAAACGCATAAAATTTGCAAAATCTCATCGGTTCTTTATTTGAAACGTTAGATTGGTCCATGACATTTACTTTTTGAAGATAATTTCATTTAAATGTTGACCGCGGCTGCGTCTTAGGTGGTCCATTCGGAAAGTCCAATTTTGGGCAACTTTTTCGAGCATTTCGGCCGGAATAGCCCGAATTTCTTCGGAAATGTTGTCTTCCAAAGCTGGAATAGTTGCTGGCTTATTTCTGTAGACTTTAGACTTGACGTAGCCCCACAAAAAATAGTCTAAAGGCGTCAAATCGCATGATCTTGGTGGCCAACTTACCGGTCCATTTCTTGAGATGAATTGTTCTCCGAAGTTTTCCCTCAAAATGGCCATAGAATCGCGAGCTGTGTGGCATGTAGCGCCATCTTGTTGAAACCACATGTCAACCAAGTTCAGTTCTTCCATTTTTGGCAACAAAAAGTTTGTTAGCATCGAACGATAGCGATCGCCATTCACCGTAACGTTGCGTCCAACAGCATCTTTGAAAAAATACGGTCCAATGATTCCACCAGCGTACAAACCACACCAAACAGTGCATTTTTCGGGATGCATGGGCAGTTCTTGAACGGCTTCTGGTTGCTCTTCACTCCAAATGCGGCAATTTTGCTTATTTACGAAGCCATTCAACCAGAAATGAGCCTCATCGCTGAACAAAATTTGTCGATAAAAAAGCGGATTTTCTGCCAACTTTTCTAGGGCCCATTCACTGAAAATTCGACGTTGTGGCAGATCGTTCGGCTTCAGTTCTTGCACGAGCTGTATTTTATACGGTTTTACACCAAGATCTTTGCGTAAAATCTTCCATGTGGTCGAATAACACAAACCCAATTGCTGCGAACGGCGACGAATCGACATTTCACGGTCTTCAGCAACACTCTCAGAAACAGACGCAATATTCTCTTCTGTACGCACTGTACGCATTCGTGTGGTTGGTTTAATGTCCAATAAAGTAAACTGAGTGCGAAACTTGGTCACAATCGCATTAATTGTTTGCTCACTTGGTCGATTATGTAGACCATAAATCGGACGTAAAGCGCGAAACACATTTCGAACCGAACACTGATTTTGGTAATAAAATTCAATGATTTGCAAGCGTTGCTCGTTAGTAAGTCTATTCATGATGAAATTTCAAAGCATACTGAGCATCTTTCTCTTTGACACCATGTCTGAAATCCCACGCGATCTGTCAAATACTAATGCATGAAAATCCTAACCTCAAAAAAATCACCCGTTATAAATCATAACAAGTTGGGATGTTTTTTTACATTGTCGTATTCTGCAAATTTGTTAAACGATATTTTTGCCAAAAACCGCAACATAAGCTTAACCTAAGTAGCTATTAAAAAATCACAACGCAGGTATACAAATACATATTTTCATTTTATTTTCCGAATTCGGTGTAGTGCATTTTCTTCTTTTTTATATGAATACTTCAGTCTTGGAATTTTTTATACAAAAATGTAATGGGCTACAAAACTGCATACTGAAAATCTTTCTAAGAAATCTAATTAAAAAGCTAGATTTTTTTGTTGATTTTTTTTAGTACATATTGCACAAAGTTTGATACATTTATATTTACACGTTTTTTGCTAAAGATTAATAAATAACAAAAAAAAATCTTGTGCGCTATAATTTTAATACGGAATTTTTATTGATTTTCGATTTTAATCGAAAATACCGATTAATCGGTTAATTTCTCACGATTAATTGCAATTATTAGTCGAATGCTTTCGATTAATCAATTATACGATTAATCGATTATTAATTTCGACATCACTATCCACAACTTAACTCCACAGGAGAGGAGATAGCACCCCTCCCTGCGGGCAACCTTTTGTTGTTCGAAGTTGTACTACGCTGCCACCGTCTTCAGTTTCAGCAATCTTGGTATGTAGCAGCCTGGCTATGCATTTGCGGATGGTTGGCTGCACATTTCGTTTCTCAAGTTCCCAATCGACGCCCACATGAGATGTGTTGTCGAAAGCCCCCTCTATATCAAGGAAGGCGCAACGCACTGTTTCTCCACACTCCAGGACACTCTATATATCTGTGGCAGCGCATACAGAGCAGTGTCCGTGGATCTGCCCACTCTGTACGCATGCTGGTCTGGATGCAGAGGTACCTCTTTCAGAGTGTTAGACTTGATTTGGTGGTCGATGACCTTCTCCATTTCCTTTAGCATAAAGGAGGTGAGACTTATTGGCCTGAATGACTTAGTTAGGGAGTAATCCCTCTTACCTATTTTCGGGATAAAGATAACCCGCGCCCTTCGCCACACCTCGGGAATGTGGGCCAGCGCTAGACTGTCCTTCACAATGTCGACAAGGTGTGGAAGTAGGAGCTACTCGCCCTGCTTCAACAGCACGGGACTGATGCTATCCACCCCAGGGGCTTTGTACCGTTCAAAAGAATCCAACGCCCATCCTACTGATCGCTGGATTATTAGGCATTTAGCCAACTTCCAGTCTGATGGGAATGGCCTGACTGCGTAGAACACCGCATCCCGGGTTGGCGGAATGGCATCAGCGAAGTGGGCGGATAGCAGGGCGAGTGCTCTTTCCTTTTTGTTGCCTAAATAAGTGCCGTCCGGTAGCCTAATGGTTAGCCTGGCTCCTGTGCTGTTCTTCGCCAAGGCTTTGTACAATCTAGCAGCCGCACTACGTTTGGCTTTTCAAATCGCCTAACTGTATGTTGTTAGGCTGGCTGAATACTCGTCCGAGTTCCCCGTGCCCTTGGCTCGGTTGAAGAGTCTGCGCATCTCCTTCCTGAGTACTGAGAGCTTCCGCCACCACCAAGCAGGCTGAGACCTTCCTTTGGCTTAGACACGAGAACGCTAGAGTTAAAAGCATCCAGTATGGTGCCATTCAGCTTATTTATTTTGTTTTCTACCTCCATACAGTCGACCTTTCGATAAGCGATGCAGATTTTGCAGGACGGATAACGAGACTGCACAGCACATATTAGAAGAATGTCCTGCGCTGATGCACAAACGAAAAAGACAACTGGGACACTATAAATCCATGAAGTGGGCACAATAGATCTTAAGGTCGCCCTAGGAGCATTTTTGCGTCAAAAAGAAAATTTTGAAATAAATTTCGCCTCCAGTGCTAGTTGCGCTTTCCTGCACATATCTGATAGTGACGGACCCTTGCCTAAAGTTTTCCCAATCCTCCTTAAGGTGCCCTAACTCAACATTCCGCCAGACCTCCATTCATCATAGATATTTGGATTCTTCGTTCGCATTCTTCTTTGTGTTGTATTGCAGATCAGAGAATAGATAAACTACTTAGGTAAAACATTTCGCAATAAAAATAAAAATAAATTCTTTAAAATGTCCAAACTTTGGGCCAATGTTTTTCAAGCTCGAGCTGAGTAAAACATATTTGGCTAACAAGAAAGAGAACTTAATATTGACAAGTTCATAGATAATGCGATATTAGCGTTTAACTAAAGCGGATGGACATGATGTGACTTAGCGAATGTGTGGGTGTGTGTGAGTGCGGGTTTACTAATAAACATTTAAATAAATATATATAAATATATAAAGATACTTACATGGAAGTCTTTAACTTCAAAAGCACTTGTCCGCTTCTCCTTTAGTTATTACTGTTGTTGTTGTTGTTGTTGTTATTTCGAATGTTGATACTCTATTTGTTGTGTTAATAGCAAATATACTATTTATTTAAATTCTGTT